GCACAGAACGACTATTTGACGTATTTTGTAAAAAGGCAAAAACTTAGCTATTAACATCCTAATACCATTCGATAGGTAATTAAAAATTGTATTTCCTGGTAAGTTAAAAAATATGGGGTTGTATTTAAATTAATCAAGTTAAAGCCACTTAAAGTTCTTATTTGATTAGTTTAAATTTGTAGACACCTATATAACATGGTAAGTTTATTATCATTGGGATATAAACTATTATATCTTGTTACACTTCACTATAAATTACCCTTACATAACTTAAATACTTCTAAAGTATTTGACACGTGAAAATTAGATTAGATTTTGATTAAATTCGTATTATTTAAAAAACCTTAAGATTAGGTATTATAAACCTTATTAAAACAGACACTTATTTTGCTCAGCGAATCCAAAAATGCAATAATATACAGGACATTCCATTAAAAAAAACGCAACTTTGATACCTTTTGGGACACTCTGTACATTACAAAAATATTTTTAAAATGTGCGCTCGGTAGGCCTCGGGCAATTCATAAAATAATACTTTTTAAAAATCAATCGGTTAAATCAATCAATCAAACGGTTAAAAATCATTCGGGTCTGCATCCTTAGCTATGCCAACTGTGGTCAAAATCTACAGGTATATTTTTGGTAAGGTTTATGGTCATTTTAATCGATGCCGTATTTTATCGTATTTTTATCGTTTGTAAAGCGTCACGCAGCTAATTAATTAACTTTGAATTCAAAATTGTAGTTACTTCTTGTAGTGTTTTCTTATCAGTCAATTAATGATTATGTAAGCTATGAGTGAATAATAATGCGAACACGTTTGCTAAAGGAAACATAACATAATAAAAATGTGTTTGAAAATCTTTGTTCGTATGCAAATTTATAAGAAATTTATAAAAAAAACTCGCATTATAATAGCACGTTTGCTATATCTTTTTGACACGGTATACTTCTTGACCGAAATCATTAATTTTTCATTCCTGCATACAGAGTATGCTAGTGTAGTCCATCTAAACCCAATACTACTCTCATTCCAGGGGGATTCAGGTGGACCTTTTGTAATAGACAATGTACTTTATGGTCTGGTCTCATTTGGCTTACAGTGTGGCGATCCGGAGCATCCAGGAGTTTATACAAACGTAGCAGTGTTTCGCGATTTCATACGAATTAATACAGGAATATAATGAATTGGATTACAAAATACACCATTTTGTAAACAGAATGTGTTGAATAGTAGAATAAATTGGTTTCAGTTGCATGAAAAATATAAAATTAGATGTTTGAGGGGTAATAAATAAATGCATATAAAAACCAAGCTAACAATTTCGGTTGGTTGGTTTAGCAATTTTTTGCCATCATTTTAAAATATATTGGCTGTAATCCAGGCAGACAAAAGACGTAGATTAAACGAGAAATAAACCTCATAAACACCACTGGCGACCCCAAAATCACGTCTACAGGACGAGAGCCTCACCCATACGAGGTGAGTAAAATAAATAAAGAACGACGATTGTCACGTATTAATTACGTCAATAATGAGTTATTCTCTTGGTATGGATATATTCATTGAATTGCTTGTATGACTGCTTATCATATTTAATATATTTTTCTACCCTGCAAATAAGTCACATTACATATCAGGTAAGAATTTATTTTAACGGCCTTTCATTAATTACATTTTTAAAGCTTCTTCAAAATTTCAGAATTTTCCAGCTTTAGCAAAACACTTTCTTCTAAACGATCAATTTTCTAAGGCTTTACTTAAAAACACTGACATTCTTAAGGTATTTTCTACGAAAAATTATAAAATAAATTTTATTAGAGCACTCGACTCCTTCGTCGACTTGTTTGTAAAAAGTTTTAAAACACCTTTTGGAAAACTGGTCACTCCCATCCCCCTGAAGCCTGTAGAGTTTGTTAAAAAAAACTGTGAATTTTTAGCTCTACTATCTTGCTTTACTATCTACTCAAAAACGCTCTATTTTGAAGAGTTTCACTTAAAGATACTGACAATCTCGAAGTCTTTTATGCGAAAAAATGTCAAGATAAATTTATAGCATTGTAGGAATTTTATAAAAACTTTTTTGAGTGTCGAATTCGGGACGAAAATAAATTTCTTCCGTTTTTCCTTAAAATCGTTAAGGTTTTCTCAAAAACCAATTACAAAACTAAAAGTTTTTAAATGCTGTTCTTCTTTCCTGACAATCATGGCGTCTTTTCAGCCAAAAATTACTTAATTCGCCTCATGCATCGTTTGCAGGGAATTTAAAAAATGCCTTTTCAGCTTCAAATTTGGCACAAAAACCAAATTATTGAATTTGGTTTTTCACCGAAAGTAATTAAGTTTATCTCTCGCCTCGGTCGAAAAAACGACCGGCAAAGTTGAAAGTAAAATAAAGTAAGTAAAAAGTGAAGTTTACAAGAAATTATTTGAAAAATTCGCCACTCTAATCGCTCTGAAGATTTTTCAAGTTTTTCTAAAAATTCAGGTGTTTTTTTAAGCAATTCTTTCTACGCAAAAAACGCATTATTTTCTAGATTTATTTCAAAATCTTGACAATCTTCAGGTATTTTCTGTGAAAAATTATAAAATAAATGTTATTGGAACACTCGCCGCCTTAAGCGCGTTGTAAAAATGTGTCGAAAACTTTTTGCGGCCTCGAATTTTGAACAAAACTCTAATAATTTTTTTCTGGGTTTTTCCAAAAATATTTCCCCGAACAGAACAAGCGAAATTTTATAAACAATGATTTGAAAAACTCGCCACCATCGTCGCTGTGAATAATTTTAATTTAAAATTCCGAATTTTTCAATTTTAGATCAATATTTCTGAATAAAGCTCTCTCTAAACAGATAAACGCTTTTTCCTAACGTTTTATTTTAAAATTTTGGCTAACTGAGAGTTCTATATGCAAAAAAATTAAGAGATCGACTTTAGAATAAAACTCCTCGTCTTTATAGTTTGACCATCTTTATCGTCTTTTTCGAATACCCGTTTTACCTTTGAATTTGCGACAAAATCGAAACAAGTTTTTTAAGTTTCTTATATATTATATGTTAAAATTCCAGTTTCGGTTATCGGTAAATGAGTTGTAACTCATTAAGCGATGAGTTTAAACTTATTAACTCAGAGAGCGGCAACAACTCAAAAGCGCAACTCAGCACAGTGTTACCCAGGCTTAATTCGAAGATATTATTTTATTTTACCCGCTGAAGTTATTTAATTTCTTTAGATAAGATGTGGCTTTGCGTTGGATTTTCAACTTTAATTGTTTTTTCGATAAAGATTTCTTCCATAGCTATCATTATCTTAGTTCTTAATGTTTCCATACTGTGTCAATATCAACAGCATTCGGGATTTCTCTTTCGCTTAATGCTTTTGTTAATATTTTTCATTCTGCCATTAATTTTAATAAATACCAATATTTGTTTTGAAATTTCCCAGAATTATAACATCGGCACATTTCTTTGGTGTCCGATCCATGGCGCTCCCTCGGTTTTATGTTTGATACACAAACCTGATAACATCTTCAAAATTATTCGAACATTCGAAGTATATTCTCATCTCAAAGGCAACATTTAACAGTCACCGTTAAAGTCGCCAAAGATTCAAACAATTTTATTGGATTGAAATTTAATAAAAATGGTTAATCACCATATACTTATTGACTTTAACAATAAAATTTCTTAATCCATCTTATTTGTTAGCATTCAATAAATGGCGTTTTCTAATAAATAATTTTCAATCAATTTTCTCACTATTTTCTCAAATTCTTGGCAGATCAATACTAAGTGTTTGTTCATGAGCGGAAAGGTGAATATAGCAAAAATGCTAATCCTTAAGACAGTGAGATGCATTAATGAAACCATAAAAAAAATGCAAGTCTATTTTCAACAAATGAGTAAATCAAGCCAAATAAAATATTGTGATCCTAATTTTGCGGCGTATGACATTTTACAATGCGGCTTTAAATGAGCCCAGGTTAAAACAAGCACAGTCCTAAAATATATTTCTCTTATATCGGTGCATTGCTTTCATGCCTTGAGTTTGTGGCCCTTTGTATATTTCCTAAAATTTAGTACTGGTTACTGATATAATACGTTTTCTTGGCAAGGAAGTAATTTATAACTCTGTTCTGAATTTATTTCTGTTTGATTGCATATTTGATTTCAGGCAACTCATTAATTACATGGTAGTTAAATCACGATTTTTAATACTAATTAGCACTTCATTTATTAAAAAACATCCTCAATAACATAATTATTTGATTTTTGAAAAGTATCAGTTTCCTTAATGGTTATTAAGTATATTTTGCCTCGGTGTGGTATTATGATGTAAAGGCATCAATTTTTCAAGCAAAGAACCACCATCCTATCAGATATGACATGAAATCTAATTACTGCATGCTAGAATGGCATACGAATTCACTCTGTTTGTTAATTACATTTATTTGAGAAAAGTACCAGTTCTCCTTCACCTTGTACCTTTATAATGTATCCACGCACTACACGATCATTTATGTTTGTTGATAATGGAAATGTGTTCCTACCCATCCATCGTAATATAATTACAGTTTTTCCAATTAATTGTTAAATTGTTCCATTGAGGTTCGGTTAAATGAACTTTCAGTTTTAGTTTTCTGAATCTGTGATCGATATTCGTTCGGGTCCGCGAGCATAATCTAAGAAGCGAATTTGTATTTGAATTTAAAAGACAAGGTAAGTGCAGCGTTTGTTATTAATATTTTGCAAAAGCTCTAACATTTCAAAGCATTTTTAATACCCGTGAGTATAGTTTTCAACCCACTTATTGCGAATTTTATTCCTTTAATTTTTTCTGTTGTCGTGTTTGGTGCCTTATTGTTAAATCATGATCCGAACTGTTCGTCTAATTGCGATAATAATTAATTTGAATAAATAATTACACATATTACAACCCCAGTACAAGCATAGCGTGTCTTAGAGGTCGACATGAACTACCCATTTATTATCAGTTTTCAACGAAATTATTCTCCTGTGTTCATTTTACGTTTCTACTAATAAGTAGCCTTTTGTTTCTGGATCTGGTTTGTGTTACAAGTATTTTTAATTAAACTATTCATTACAGTATCTTTAAAACATTTTAAACGAACTGCTAACACAAATTTAAGTCAATTTTTTTATTCTTTTGTATAAAAATTAAACTTTTAATATAACTAGAACTTATGTTGTTTTTCTGTATTTTCTTGGTTTAGATTTTTAATTCTGGTTTTTTTGGAGCTTTAGTTTAAGCTTTGCAAAATCTAGTAAAACTTTATCCAAATGAATAACCAGCACCAGCGCTTTGGAGTTTTAATCTCAACTTTGTGCGTTAAGTGTTGATTCATTTAAAAAAAATGTTATCCAACTGTATTGTTCTAACTTATCCAGCTCAATCAATTGGTCCAACAGTTAATATTGTTTCTTAAATTGTTTCTGTTTTCTTAAATAATTTAATTGCCAAACTATTCTAAATTTCCTCAACGGGAGTTGAACGTAGTCTTCTACACATTCTGAAAAAGTATATATAAAATTTAACAATTTAGAGTCATTCCTGTCTTGAATCGAATGGAAAATTTATTAGTAAGCGATCCCGTGCGTCATTAATCGGGCAGTATTTGAGAAAAACAACGTTTTTTTTTGTTTTCCGTTACGTTCAACGTGCTGAGCATTTATTTGTACTGTAAATTTTAAATAATGTTTAGCAAATCCTCCCAGTGATCGTCTTAATACGTTTTCAATATTTGCATTTCCAAGTTCCACGATTTGCTATCCAAGCAAAATATTTGTGCTGCTGTATTACATTTTGCTGCTAATTTGCTGCTAAACTGTCTTGGTTCTTAGAAGGCCATGTTAAAATAATTGCAAAAACAATTTTTTGCACCAATCTGTTAAACTGCTTCCAGTTCTCTAGAAATAGCTGCAGTTATTAACAAATATAAGCATCTTTTGGTCTTAATATTATAATTTTTGCAGTGCATCTAGGCTGGTTATTTTATTACATATTAAAAATATACTCGGTGTTTTTGTGCGATTTATTGTGACAACTTAATGAGTTATCAATAAACTGTTTCATTCAAAGAAAAGCCACAATTTTGAACAATCCTCATAATCTGTATTTAAAAGTTTGCTCCTACTGAATAATTGAAGAGTATAATTTCTAAAGGGTCTAAGTGCCAAAATCCTAAAGTTGAGAAAATCAACAAAAACTCTTTAAAATATTAATAAAACCATCTTTCGAGCCATCTTTCGACGCATCGCAAAAGCCTTTGCCGTTTTCAATGCATATAAACCCTTTTCAGATCCATTGGGGTTGGCTCTTACGATCGTTTTCAAGCAAAATATAGATTTTTTTACATCACGTAAACAAATATACTAGCGACTGTTCTTTCTTGTAATAAGCAATTTCTTGCATTTTAAAATAATTTAGGAATTGTAATTTATCTAAAATGGATTTAATTTGATTAGCAACAAACTGAAAATGTCAATATAATGGACAAAAGCCTTTTTTACATAATAACGATAGGACCAGCTTTCCTCAATATTTCGTAACCCTGTATTTTCAAAACCAAATGTTCTGGATAAATAGTCTAGCTCTGAATACATTAAAAGTCTTGTTGTCCACTTAAGTGAAACCTTCAACCATAAATAAAATAGTTCATGATACATCACTTGTAAACACGTAGGCTTAAAAAATGTGAAAATTCCATAATGAGTCTATGCAAAATCGCATTTTTGAAACTGAATTTCTAATCAATATTCTTATTACATGGAACATGAAATTGATTTTTGGATATCGAAAGTTTAAATTCATTTGGGGAACTATTGTGACGATTTTTCCTAAAATGACCACGATTTTTGATAGTTAGAATTAAGACTCATTCAACTTTACAATTTGCCGGACGCTTGATAATCAGCTGCTAAGAAGTGCAGATCGAATCGGCTCACACTGTATACTGATCTCTCAGATAATTATTTCGTTTGGCTGTTCACTCAATCAGTACCAGATTTCAAGAATTATGTAATTTAGTAAAGCACGAGTTTTCACAGGTGTACACTTGAAACAAAATAGCCAAATATAGTTGTGAATTTTAAATTAATGTTAAGATAAAATGCAATTAATCTCAAGGATTTCGATAGGTAGGTCCAATGATTTACAGAAATCGGCACCCAGTTACGTGCCAATGAGCTTGTCAACAAAAAAGCTGGCTCAACCGAAACTGGATTTACATTCATTAATTCATCTCCGCTTTTCATTTATGGAGTTTAAAGTCAGGGTTTTCTGTAAAATGATGTTAAAACTCAATTCACAATAGGCCTGAACGATTTCTTTAAAAGGACATCCCTTAAACTTGTGCTTTTTCAAGTATTTTTTGCATATTTTGTACCAATAATAAAAATTCCGGATAAAAAGAATTATTAATATTAAATGAAATTGGTACATAAAGGCCGGTGCTTAAGTTGAAATGTTTTCGGTGTAATGATTGTTCCGCCTATATTTCGTGGTTGATTCCTTGAATTAWAATCATKAAATAATTAAAATATCACAGTAACTATAAAATAATCACTTTACAAATAATGTATTGAYTTTACTGTGAAAAAATAAACTCATTACTTAGGAATGGACGCAATAAAGACTTTAAATAGATTTCTTGCAAGATCGAAATATATCTACATTTTTAARTCCTTCTAAATATGCAGAACATTTTTGTGTMCCTATGAAAAGTTAATTTGGTTTTWATGATATTAAAGATACATACAGACATGGATCTGAATTATACCAAGCTGMAAACGTATTGAAAATGTGATCATATGGTTAATTACSTAAATGAATAAATAATTAAGTAGAGTACAATGAATTGTCCTAATCGTTTTATTGGGAAAATTTCCAGCATGAGTTTTAATTTCTCAAAATGTTTTTAATGATACTTGTAAAATTGTGTTTCGATGTTCATTTACGAGAATGAAAGTTAATTGATATGCATTTTGTACAGAATCAGTTAATTAAACCAAACCAAATTACAACCGCAGCACTTCAATATAATAGTTTTTTCATGCTGAACATCTCATTTCAATACAGAATGACTAAACATTAGGAACATCTGTAAGCGCTGTAAACGGCGGTCTAAGGATTATCGGAAATGTTATTGCGTTCCAAAATACTGAGTCTCACATCAGAAAACCTTGTGATTTTTCGATCTGTATAAATTTAAATGCTGAGAACAAATTATACAGGGTGTCCCATAGGTAATGGTTAAAAACTAATGGCGTATTACTGTGCTAAAAATAATTCGATTTAGCACAACTTCATGACTGTGTTGTGTTTATGACTTAATTTGATACTGCGCAGTAATGATATAAATTGTCTTAATCCTCATATTTACCATGTAATTCAAATGAAAATAGATATTTGTTCTCTTCAAAATTATTGACTTAAGTATTTGGAAGACATACTTCTAAACATAAGACTTGATACAATATTCATGCAGGATGGAGCCCCAGCTTATTTCTCACTATAAGTGATGAATTGCTTAAATTCAAATTTTCCAAACAGTTGGATTAGTCGGGGAAGTCAAACACCATCTCCAGCACAAAGCCGGGATTTTAATTTTGTAGATTTTTGTGTACCGAGAGACCTGAACTCATTAGTGTATGAAGAAACGACAGAGACCCGAGACCAATTACAAATAAAAATTGAAAACGCTGTGGCGACATCTGAGAATAAACATCTATTTTGAAAAAAATTAGAAGATCGTTTAATTTACGTGTGACTAAATCTGTTGTTAATGGGTGTCGTTTTGAACAACTTTTGTCTAAAGTTGATCATTTCTTTTATTGG